GTACAAAGTAAAGAGGTTATAAAAGTTTTTGCATTTCAGGAAGTTTAATAAAAAACTGTGGTATATAGCCCTTTATAAATACTGAAAATTGCGTATGACTTTCAATTATAAAAAATAGTTACACATGAACTTCCAACCTAAATAATATACTGTCTACTTAACATAAGTGAAACACATTATTAAACTACATGTTTTGATGCAGTCTTAAGACTTCAACATATGCTTCCCCCTTCCCTGTGAAGCTAAAACACGGATGGAGGAAACGCCTGATTATAAGGCTTATCAACTTATATAGGGTGAGTGTCTAATAAGAGATGACCATAGCATGTGTAACACCTGAATTTTACACTATGTTTAGATAGAGAGAAATGGAGGGAAAGGAGGAGAAGAGAAAAGAAAAGATGCATCATCCTTTGTTTGGATACCTAATGTAAGGAGAGAAGGGAAGTAAATTGGAAGGATCCATTTTCCTTCCCCTTTAAATAAACCAAATCCTTCCATTGTTGGAGAGATTTGGAGGGAAAATGGAAGGTAACCTCCTCCCTCCCCTCACCTCCCTTTCCCCTCCCTCTTTTTCCTTCCCCTCTCTTTCCCTTCATTAGTGTTATCCAAACATAGTGACAGTATGTTCGGAAAAAGAAAGGGGAAGGAAAAGAAGGGGAGGGAGGAGAAGAGGAGGGGAGAGAAGAATGGCGAGTTTTCCTTCCAAATCTCTCCATTGTTGGAGGGATCAATTTCCTACAATTTAATCCCTTTATTTCCCTCCTTTCCAATTCCCTTCCTTCCTCATTTGTTATCCAAATGAAGAATACCCCATCTCTCCATTTCCCTTCCCTTCCCTCCATTTCCTTCATCCAAACACACCGTTAATCTCAGTCTAAACAAATAAATACTCCATACTTGGATAAGGTCACAAAGAGGGACCGGGGGAGTGTCCAATCTTTTCCCCCATCATTCTACATCTTGAGTTATTGAGTTATATTCTCAAAAAAGAAAAAAAAAAAATCAAATAATAAAATCCACATTCACTCCAATTACTCCGTAATAATTTGAGAACTTCTTTATTTTTTGACAAGCAGAAGACTGAAACATGATAAAATGTATTTTCATTCTGGTAAAAAGCGGGGGGAAAAAAAAAGAAAAGGAAGATGGATATGCAAATTAAAATATGGACATACCTTGTATGTTTCTTCAAATACAGGCAAGTATCTAAGCTCATTTGTGGACTCCCCCCAGGATTCGATTAGCATAAGTGCCTTGTTCCTGTTCATAACAACAGTTTGAGGGTCATCAATCAACTTCACCATCTCATCAAGAACCCTTTCTGATGCCACCTCAGAGAATGCCTTTTCACAGTTCTTAACAATAGTTTCGAGCAACACCATAGCCAAATACTGAATCCTAGGGGTCTTTAACATAATCCGCTTCTTTATTCCTCGAATCAAATCAACACTATTAACTCTCTCTTGATTAACCATGTCACATATCTCAAGATTCGTAGCCCAATCTGGCTCCTCAAGAGTCTCAGCAGTTGCTTCCTCGACAATTTTATCAGCCTGATTTGTTCCCCCTTGGAATAGTTCCTTCATCTTGAAGCTCATCGAGCTCACACCCTCGCTCATCTTCTTACCAACCTCAGTACCGCCGATCCTTAGACGCTCACCCAATGAAGTAACTTTCTCCATCAAGTTATCACTCATCTTTACAACCCCAAATACGACAACCAACTTCAAGGTTTAACCTAACAACACCACTGGTTATCAGAACACAGCACTGGCGTCGACAACAACGACAAATTACCCCTAAATATGCAAAATCAGCAAAAACGGCAATCAATAGAAAATTCCAAGTCAATTTAAAACTCGTCAAGCACATTATAATCTGGAAAAAAAATGCTACAAAAATAGGGTTTTTCAAAGTCACAAATGAACCCAAATTATAAAATTCCACCAAATTTTATCAAAATTTCAACACGGAAACAAAGGAACAAAGAAGATTCAAAGTTGAAAGACCTAGAAAAAGTCCAAACACAAAAAAACAAGAATTGATCAAGAATTTATTAAAAAGACAACGAAATCATCAAATTAGGTACAAAAATCCAACACAAAACTCAACTAAAATACAGCACTAATTCGAACAAATAATTAGCTAAAACACAGTCTAAAATTAGTAAAATCCAACGAAATTGAAGTAATAATACGGTCAAATTAAAGTTGACTAAGCAGATCGAACAGCATACAGGGAAAATGCATCTTTAATTTGCAGAAATATAGCAAAAAAAATAAAGAAAATTGGATAATCTTACCTTGGAAATGAAGGTGGATGATGAAGAACAAGAAACTCGGAGGAGAGAGAAAAAGGGGAGAAAATGTTGCGATAATTAGAAGAATACGACGATGATGAGATCGAAGGTTCTTCCGATGATATTTTTAATTTTCAGTACTTGGTAAAGTACTTGCTTCTTTTCTAGTCTAGTGTGTCGTCATTCGTTCCTTTTTATGCGTTACCTACTTTACCCTTTCTCTAACAACTAAATTTCACATACTAGTACATTCTTGGATTTTTTTGGCAATTTTTATTGTACAATTGGTTGTATTCCGTATTGTGTATGTAGGCTATAGAGTTTTTGATTTTTTTTTTATGTTGTTGATTTATGTTTTTCTTTTGAGGAATAAGTAGTATTTCCTTCATTTTATAAAGTTATTATCATTTATTATGGACTAATATATTGATGAAATGAAATGAATAAAAATAATAGTAAGTAAATATAAATTGCTTGTGAAATTTGCAAATGAAAAAACACTCATGTAAAATGAGATCTAATTTTTTTTTTTTTTTTGGTACTTAACTTTATTGTTGAACATATTATATATGTAGTGAAAGTTAATTACTCATGTGTATATATATAATACTATAATACTATATCCATCACATGATATTGCTCTTTGGATATATCATACAATATTATGTTTTTCACCAAGCTAAGGCCTTGTTTAGTTCAACTTATTTTTACTTGAAAATAAGTTCAGATTAGATCAGATTAGAAAAAATATGTTCAGATCAAATTATCGTTTTATGTGCAATTTTTTATCTCTAAACATCTTTAATTTCGTAATAAAAAAAATTATGAAAATTACATATTAATAAAATACACATTATTACGAATCTAACAAGATCTCACTTGATATATTTTTTCCTTACAGATTATCGTACACTTAATGTCAAAGTTTGGTCAAATCAGACAATAAGATCAGACCGGATCAAATCAGTTTAGATAAGCAAAAATAAGGTGAACTAAACAGGGCCTAAGTTTGATATAGTGGAAAGGAGAGCACCTTCCAACTATGAGGTTGGAGGTACAATCCCCACTAGTGACAATTATTTGGGGGTTAGGATTCCCTTACCTACCCTCCACTCTCCCAAATTATCTAGCCCACAAACCCAGATTGGGTTGACCAGTGAAGGGTTCCGATCTGGTAAGAACCTTCATCTTACTTACTTTAAAAAAAAAAAAAAAAAAAAAACCCATATTATGCTTTTTAATACTTCCTTCGTTTCTTTATACTTGCAAACACACTTTTTACATTATCGAAGAAAAAAGTGGGGATTATATGATTTGATATACTTAAAATGAGGGTGAGAGATGGTTAGGAGTATAATTTAGTTGGTCATGAGATTAAAATAAGGGAAATAGTACAACTTTTAACAAAAAAAACTTTCTAATTACAGAGTGTTGCAAGTATTGTCACATTTCCATTTTAGGGAAGTGTTGCAAGTATAAAAAAACGAAGGAAGTATGATTATATTGTAGGATGTCAAATTTAAAGTATGCTTTTTGAAAGTTTTACACAATTATATTTTTCTTTAATCTGTATTGTAGGATGTCAAATTATAAGATACTGAGTATATAATTAGATGTAATAAACTAATAACAACAAGTTAATTAGTGAAAATAACACTACAAATAAGTGATACTCATGCATTAAAAAAAATTAAAGGAAAATTTTGCACTAACAAACTAGTAACATACTACTTCCTCCATTCCCTTTTGTTTTTGACGTTTAAAATTATGCGTTTTTAATAAGGAAATGTGTAAAGTTGAGGTATATTGACATTAATTCAATGATTGAAAGTACAATTCTATCTAGATAAAAAAAAATAAAAAAATTGTACAAGTGGGGTGACGAAAATAGAAGATCAGAGAGAGGGGATGGAAAAAGTAATAATGAGTATTGAAAACCCATTAAAATACTACAAATAGTACAAATGCACATGGAAATTTGAAGACAATTGAGTTTTTAAATTGTAAAACAAGAGTAATTTTGTACAAAATTTGTCTTAAAAAAAGTCCTAAATGTTAAAAATACTCGTAAAAAGGAACTTAAATGAAAACGTAAAAAACTAAAGGGAATGAAGGGAGTAACATAAACGCAGTGGAAATTCTTAGACATATTAACTCTTTAAGCTAAGCCACATGAACTCGAGGGAGCCCTACTTCCTCAACATAAGAAACATGGGTGTTCCTCAAAATGGCATAGTTCGTTATAAATTAGAGGAATTATATGGTTTTTTTTTATTATTTTGTTTCATATTAATTTTTTGATGTTTCCTTATGCTTCTCGCCCCCATCTAATTCTTCATCCTCATCTTCTTTGTGCTTTCCTCCTCCTCTATAGAAGTGGATCGTGAAAAATCACTTTCACCACCATATATTCAGCCGGTGATTAAATGAAATCCCTAACCAAAAAGGGAGAAAAGAAGGGGATCATTAGCCCTTACGAGGAAGGGTTGCATTCTTCCATTGAAGCCCCTTGAAGTTCTTTGATTTCTCCATCTATTGAAGTTATTCCATTTTCGGTTGAAGTTCTTCGGTGCTCTATTAAAACTTTATGTTATTGTTTGTAAATATAAACATTTGTAGAAAAAAATTACAACATTAACCCAAGTTATTGACAACTTGTATTTTCTCTATGAACACATAGTTAATCTCACAATGATTATTACTTATATTAATAAGAGGATACATTGTACATGAGTACATAACTGATAATATCACTTGAACAATAATTTTTTCAAACTTGTTCAACTCCAAACACTGCTAATGTACAACACACTTGCCCCCCTTTCTCTTAACATGCGACTAAAATATTGAATATAAATAAAAAAAAAATAAAAAAAAAAATTCGGATCCAAGCCGATACGGGTAAGCGGGCAAGTCAAAAATCTTGAAATGGTTTTTGGGTTTGCAGTCTCTCTAAAACCACCATTATTCTCTGCAGCAGTAAAAACCCCTTTATCTCTCCTAAAACCACCATTTTCTCTCTCTCCTCATCTTCAGCTGCCCACAAACATTCAGGGCAGCATGCTGATGATCATTTGATCTTGCAATTCTTCTTCATTCTTTCGATTGAATTTGATGATGACGATATTTTTTTAGGTACTAATTCTTTTTCGAATCATATTTTACTGTTGCAAAATTTTAGTTATTCGTACTCATTCGTAATTTTTCAATTGTTTTTTCGATTTTTGCTTTGTTATTAATCATATTTTACTAGTATTGATTTTTGCCCTTTTCTAATAATTTATTATATATTTGGATTGCGTTAGTTTTAATAAATTCAATAATTAGCTATTGGGTAAATTGAATGGTTAGATATATTTTTTGCTAATATTTTTGGGTGAATGATGGTCAAATATGCTTGCTTTAGCTATATATGTGGTTTTTAGCATATTGAGTTGCTTATTCAGCAGTATACAAATGTGTCAAATTAGAGACTGCAGCAGTATACAAACTTATCAAATTAAAGATGGGTGGCCCTTTTCGATGTCGGTGATTCGTGGGCGTTTGAAGGAGTGATTGAATACCCAAATGTAGTTGATGTATTGTTAGTAGTGAAGTGTTTGGGTACCTAGGTGAAATATTTTATACAAACTCGGTGTACCGTGAACCCAAATAACCCAAATTTAGTTTTTGCTCTTCATTTGATCGTGCACCCGCGTGTATATAACTATATCTCTAGGTAGGCTAAACCATGTCATAAGGGAATTATTGTAGATATCTCCATAGTTATATATTGGATATTAAATTCTTGTCACACGGCTGTATCTTGTCTCGTTTGTTTAATTGTATTGATTGTCAAGGTCGTAGGGAGCTAGTGACAACTGACAAGTAGTTGTTTTTTGTTATTAAAATTTAAAAATGGACCTCATCCTCAGGCGATGAAATGCTTTTCATTGCATTTCCTTCCTTTTGATGTATTTGGTTTCTTAATCCAAGCGCATATGCTGATTATGAATGTTGGAATTATTGCTGTATATAATTAACTTATCTGATTTTATAGGTTATTATTGACTGGTTATAAGATTTAAGGTGCTGCTGGGAGTATTGTTTCGGCCTCATGATGATGGCTCTGACATGGCTAAGTGCAATTCTAGTCGGAGCAGGGTGTCTTGCATTGGGATACTACTTTGGTGCGCGTCATCCTGCTCGTTTATTTGATTCTTCTACTGCACCTAAAGCTAGCGTTACCAAAAGTGGAGGCAAGAAAAATCGTGCTCAAGAGTCCCTTGAGATTGAGAAGCTTGCTGACGTTCTTGAAGATTTTAAAATGGTGCATTGCCCTTTCTACTCTTTCCTTTCGTGAGAGATAGTTGCAGCATAAGCAATTTGAGTATAAAGTCAATATGAAGTCCATGAAGAACTGATAGTCTTTTTGTTTGTATTTTCCAAAAGGTATTGGTTGTGAGGAATGACTTGAAGATGGGTAAAGGAAAGATTGCTGCCCAGTGCAGGTAGTGGCTCACTGGCTCCACATCTCTAATCTTGTGATCTGTAATTTTATTGCTATTATTCTTTATATGTTTATTGGAACATTTCTTCATTAAGAATTGTAAAGGTGTGATAGATTGTTGATTTAGTTCACTCCTGTCAGGTTCTGTTTTGTGCCACAAACTTACTTTGTTAATTGTTGCATCCCCTTAGATTTATTTTTATTCAATCCTTTTGTATTATGCCATTCATATGTTTGTTTGAATACTCTGCAATCACACGACTATCTGGTTCTTTTTATTAAAGCTGCTGTCTGTTCATGCCTCTCTGTGGCATATTATCCAGTCCAGTCCAGTCCTTAGAACCGTCACATTGTGTCATTTTCTTGTGTATGTGTTTTTTTTTTTTTTTTTTTTTTTGCCTTCTATGTGTTAAGTTCATGCATTGGAGTTACAGGATTGCTCCTTTATTAACTTAGTTTTTCAGTGGTTTAATATTGTGTTTTAATCTTCTGAGCAGTCATGCAACATTGGGTCTCTACAAAAAGCTTCTTAATCGAGCCCCAAAAGCATTAAACAGGTGAGTTCAACTGTGAAGTTTCTTTGTTGATATTATTTCCTATTTTATATTCATGTACTATACTTAGCGTTATCATACCTTTGTGCAGGTGGGAGATGTGTGGGCAGGTTAAAGTAGTTGTCAAGATTGAAAGCGAGGAAGACTTGCTTAACTTACAGGTGAGAATGGTTCAATAGCTTTCGTAGGTTAAGAAGTTCTAATATTTTGGTATCTGTTATTCTGTTATTGCCATTTATCTTGGTATCTGCTAGATGTCTCAGGAACCTTTCCTTCCTCCCCCTTTCTATATCCTATATACATAGAAGCATCAAGCACTTCTTTTACTAGGAAAGAGAAAATCTCAATCACAGCCTTATCTTATACACATCCTAAAGGCTATATCTTGCATAATTCCTTTTTCCAGATGGAATTTGTATTACCCTTCTTTGGTAGTTTTTTAGTTTCCCCTTTGTTTTATCGATCCTATTTCGTCCCCCCAGTTATATTAGTAAAGCTGGGCCTTGCTTGATTTCTGAGAGCTACTGTTCTTTTTCCTGCATTTTTTAGTACTCGTCAGTTTCTTTTGTCTTAAGACTCTGTTCAATCCATGTTGCTTTCCTCACTGTAATTCCCTGCTGATTAGAAGTCATCTTATCTTGTATGGTTATAACACTGAATTTTGTACTGGAGTCACTACCATTGACAGTTATAGTGTCCCTATATAAATGCCCATGTGTTGACATGATGTTTTCTGTGGTAGCTATGAACTTCTTGTTGCACTTGTTCTGCTGATTATTTGCGTTATCATAGTCACATTTAGTTATCCTAAGATTCCTAACGCCATGTTAACTACAATGGAAAAATGGAAAGCAGAAAATTAAAGGCCTAATTATCCAAATTCGCTTCTTTCATTATCTCATTCTCTTCCTCAATACAAAATTTTGACTTTTTTGGGACCTATAGTCTCTGGTCCTGCTGTGCTAAGCCTTTTCTTTCTAATGTCTTTAGCTTTTTATTTAATCTTCAGATATTTGTGGCGTTGATATTCTGATTTCTGCCACAGTTGTGCAATATTTTTTTGTAAGAAGGAATATATATCTATTGCTACTTAATTCAAGTACTTATTGCTGGTTGACTACTGACTTAAGCCATTATTTGATTTTGAGTGGTGCATACTTCAGTAATAAATTTTGATTTCATCAGTGCTATGCTCTTAAGCTTTTTGTTATGGAAACCTACCTATCTTTTCATTTTATATGAATTTTTTCTTTTTCCTCTTTTCTTTTCTCTTATCCTTTTTTTTTGCATGCTAAATGAAAAGTGTTCTTCTGAACTATTCCTTACCTTGTTGTTTTTCTGATCATGGTATCTTTCTTCTATTTGCAGGGAAGGGCGAAGTCAATTCATATACCTACACATATTGTAATAGATGCTGGAAGAACTCAAATAGCTCCAAGTATGATGCTGAATCAAATTCTGTCAAAATTTCTAGCATTTATAGTTGTATACACTGTACATAAGTTCCTTTTTTTGATGAAATGTCCCACTTTTCTTATGGGCATGTTTTGTTTAATGAGCTTATTTTCTTCCAAGCCTCTTGGATTTTAACCGTGGTCAAACAATGATTTACCTACAGTACCCACCTAGTGCAGCTTAGCTGTATTTGCATTAGAGAAGCTGCTAAGATGAACTTAAACCTGAAACTACAAGAATTTTTGGAAACCTCATTATTCCTAATTAGTGTGCATGTAGGCTGTGTGTGTGTTGAGTTTGTGTTTTAACAATTACCACTTAGGGGAATATAAATGAATCTCCGGAAGAATAGTAATGAATACTTAAGTGGCTTTACTCTCCATCTTGGATTCAGCCCAGGCATACTATCTTCATATCTTATCAAATAAAACTGCAGATGTTTTTTTTTTAAAAAAAATAAAATAAAATTCCTGGCTACTTCTCTAATGTTTTTCAATGCTGTCTTTCTTATCCTGCAGATTCGCGAACAGTCATGGCTGTTCTTGGTATGTACCCGCTTTTGTGCAGTCCTTTGATTTTCACCTACTCCCTGTTTTAATATTTTAGTATGACCTCCAAGACCACTTGTCTAAATAATATTGCTATTGCAGGACCGGCCGACATGGTTGATGATGTGACTGGAGGATTGAAGCTTCTGTAATTGGTTGCTTTACTGAAGTTGGTTGCCATTTAGGCCTAGCGACAAGGACATGCCTTATATTCTGATATCTGAAAACAGAGACCTCAAAATCTCAAATAGCAGGAGCGGCAATTGAACCACGCTGAAAGTACTGCCACTGAGTTATTACTGAATGGGGGCCGATTTCTTTTCATTTCAATCATTTTAATGGATGAATACTAGGTTGATCCTTTTGTTGGCTTCTTAATATGGCAATAGTGATTTTATCTGGATAAGATGTTTCTTCTACCTTCGCATTTTTTTTCTTCTACTAATAGATTGCTGATGTTGCGGAGAATCATCATGTTGCGGACAATGTATTTTATCATTTCATGTATTGCTTTGATTATTGTCGCTGTATCGGTTTTACTTGGGAAGGTGATCCTTTATAGTGAGGATTTTGAATATCAATAGTTAGAGGAAGAATGGCCATATGCCCATATTTGAGAGTTTTCATTTGAACTTTTTCTTATTAAGGTTAACCCATCTTCTCTTCACCACTCTTATCTAAATCTAATACTCCCTCGTGACTCAAATTGTGTCCCAAAAGAGTACTGTTACCATTTTTCCATACTACTCGATTTTCAAAATTACTTTTTAAGCTCAAACCTCTCTTTAAATCCTCTTTCAACCAAATACTCCCATTAAAATATTGACCGGCTAAACTTCTGTTCATGCCACGAACCCCTCTTCTAGGCTTTTAGCCAAAATCTCTGTATCTCTGTCAATCAATAATGTCTTTGTATTTTCAAGCAAATGGTTGTAAACAAATGATTGAAAGGATAATTTATAAAATGATTGAAAAGATAGTTTATGAAATCAATTAAACATGCAAATTGCTTACTTATATACTGTACTAGAAACCACGTCATTCATGAGGAGGACCCACAAAAATCGAATTAACCAATCACAAACTGTACAGTTGACTTTAGCTAAATATACATCACCAATTTTCATGGTTAAATCTTGTCCAATACAAAGACAAACCAACTTTGTAGGAGCTATAACAACTGTAAGATCAGAGAGCAGCAAATCATGGCCGTTGGATATGAAACATTAACGGTGATGATCTTGACCTTGATGTTGTTAGTTAAGCAGAGTGTACAACTGAGGTCCACTCATCCATTACATGAGGTTGTAGATAGGATAAACCACCATTCTTCTTACATTGGCTTAGTTTTAGCCTTTCCTGCTGAAGAAATCCCCCTTCTAAACTCTGGTCTTTTTGTGCTCAACTCTAGGAATCCCTACATCCATATCGCTGGTATTTTTCTAATTCCCGTCTTCTCTATATGCTTATCTTGATAAAGTCGATGTCTGTTTAAAATTAAATGGGAGCATGTTTATATTACACTCGGATGTACCTGCATGATTGAATACCCTATAGGTTTGTACAATCAAAGCAAAGTGTTTATTGATGTCGTATTACTGGTTCACAACTTTTAGAATATTGAAGTATTATTAAAGTTGTTAGTCTACCTTCTAATGGGTACTTAAAAGAGTTAAAGAATATAGATCTGAGTAAACCTTGGGCATTGAAATTATGAACTTATAATTTGAAGTGACATTTCATTTTTTTTACAAAAAATTTGAAGTGACATTTGAATACGTACTAACGGACCAATGAAAACATAAGGAAAATTAATGACTTGGATAACTTTATTTTGGCTTTTACTAACTAAATATGAAAAAGTATTTTCAACCAAAAATGCTAAAGTCAGGCAAAATTTACATAAAAATCAGCTAACATTTTACAATTTATTTAATAACCAAATATGATCATAAATAAGTATCTAAATTTAACAAATTAAATGAACCTGTCAGTTATTGTCATTATATTTCTTGTCTATATTACTTGTCATTTTTGTCTTCAAAAAAATAAAAATATTACATGTCATTTCCGCCATGTAATTACTTATTAGAGCAAATTCAAATAGTTTGGTAGTTAGCTGAGTTCATATTGTCATTAATTTATTACAAGTTGGTTAATATAATATACAAAGTATCTTAAAATATTTGTCTTAATCTTGTTTATTTTTACGGGTGATCAGGCAGAAAATTCAACATTGGGAAAATCAAAGGTGTAGATGTAATCTATGTCTTAACAGGAGAGCAAACAGTTAAAGTTCCTTCTATAATACATCCACAATTTCATACTAATTACAAGTTTAAAATCTAATTTAGTCTGTATTTTACTCAGGTAAATGCAGCTCTTACAGTACAGGCTCTACTTCAGACTTTTAATATCAGGGGAATTGTTCATTATGGCATTGCTGGATGTACTAATACTTCAATGTCTGTCGGAGATGTCGGCGTGCCACATTCTTTTGCATTCACCAGCTCCTGGAAATGGCTGGTAAGATGAAAGTATCTCCTGCACATTATGCAAATCGTATGTATGTCCTGTGTAATTTATGCTGTTTTCGTGTCGTCGTTGGTATGAAGGATTTTGGGTCTGAAGAAACGAGTGAAAATGAGCTGAAATTTGGGGCTTACAATCTTCCACAATCAGGAGAGAATTTACTAGAAAGAATTCAATTCACCCCTGTACAACTTTTCTCTAATAAGAAGGCAATGCAAGAGCTCTTTTGGTTTCCAGTTGATGCTCATTGGTATAATCTTGCTACCCAACTTCAGGTATAAATGTTAGACCTTCTGCACGAAGCCTTGCTTTAATGTGTTATTGTGTCGAGAACTTATTTTAGTTGTGAATTGAACGTGTCAGGCATTCTTTGAACTTAATTTTTGTCGAAACATATATTTGTAAGGTGAAAAGAACAAAACCGCGTAGTGACTAATGATATATAACACGGGTTTTGAATGATGACAGGGATTGAAGTTGCAGCAGTGTTTAAATGAGACTGCTTGCTTGCCTAAAGAGCCCAAAGTGATATTTGGACTTAGAGGTTCAACCGCGAATGTGTTCATGTCTAATTTGGCATTTGCAAAGTTCCTTTACCAAGAATTCAGCATATCTACAGCAGATGAAGAGAGTGCTGCAATTGTACATGTTAGTATTTTACAAATCAAATCTAAGTTCTCGCTTATTATGACTTGGTCCTATTTTTTAAATGGACAACACTTAAATTGGTTAATGATCAAGATGAGATGTTGAATAATTTTGTGTTTGGTGCAGGCATCACTTTCGAATGGTGTACCATGTGTTGTGTTTCGTGGTGTATCGGATGTGGCTGGTGGAGAGAAACTAGCATTGGCTGGTCTCAGTTCTCTGGCTGCTATCAACTCCTTTAAAGTAGCAGCTAAATTTGTAGAACTTATTGGCAAGAAGAAAGCTACATTTTAAGCATAGCTAGTAGTTCTACCTTAGTCTGGCTTTGTTTCTCCACTCTTAGGGAGTTAGGCAAGTCGGAATTTAAGTGTGTAGAGGCTATCGTTGAATAAATTTGCTAGTTCTTTCAATAATTGGTTTCCATGTAATCTACGCTACTGTTTGATCAATAATTAATCACTTTTCGGAAACATGCAAAATGTGTCCACTAAAAAGAAACAAATGATCGAAATTAGCATCACAAATCGGCTGTGAAGGGAGGGCACAAACGTCTATTAAACATGTCTTTTTTCTTGCTTCATTGTACTTTTGATAACCTTCCTTCAATTTTCTCTTGGAGTTTTCCAATTTTAATGTCAGTCGATTGACATTATTCAAGTGGAATCATTGCAAGAAGATGGAGGTGAAGATTGAGGAGTTGTCTACAAAGAACCGTCAACTTCTTCCCTTTTCCGTGATGACAAGAATGCAAAATCGAAACCGAGAGTAATTATGACTGCTCTTCTTAAAAATCAAACATAGGTCTTGTGTTAGATTGTGTAAACTCCCCAACTTTGAAAATAAAAGGCTTATAAAAAGTTGCAAAATTTAATTATAAATAACAAACTTAAATAGGTTAATTTTGTATTTGGTTACAATAGCTTTTTAATTTCTGTATGTAAGTAAGGACTTTATTGTCTTTGTATAGGATTTTTCCATTTTTATTTTTCCATGATCGGTCATTTTATCCTTAATTAGGGTTACTTTTATTTTTAATCTGGGTTAATTATATTATGAGTATCATTTAATGTCACTTTTATACTTAATTAGAGTCGTTTTTGTCCAAAATGGTTAAAATTCATCTTAAAGACATCTATATTGTCGAAAGTTGGTATAAGAAAAGTAAGAAGATTGACCATATTCTCTCCCGTCTCCACCTTAAAACCATAAGAAATAATATATTTATTAAAAGTAAGTTTAGTTCAGCAAAAATAATTTCAGTTCAGTAAAAATAATTTTTAATCTGTAACTTTAAAGGAAAAATATATAGAGAATCAGTAAAAATAAGTTTTAATTTGTAAAAATAATTTCATTTTAATAAAATCAATTTAAGTTAAGCAAAAATAATTTCAGTTGTATATAAATAATTTTAATTCAACAAAAATAAGGTGATAATATAGAGCAATTAAGTTTTACTGAAATAAAATTTTTATAATTAAACTGAAATTATTTTTACTGATTAAAACTTTTTTTTACTAAGTTATTGATTTTTACTTAACTAAAATTAATTTTATTAAATTAAATTATTTTAAAATGAAAAAGTAGGGCCTAAATGGCACTATGGCACCACTTCATAAAAGGGAAAGTTTATGTATGACAACCATGAACTTATCACATTTTCTTGATTGAGTGAATTTGGCTAAGTATATATTTCCATCTTTGTGTGGAAGATTCTAGGTGCCTTTTTGGATATCTATAAATAGGAGAAAGTGTTTGACAATTTAATCAAGCTTTGTGATAATAATACCTCTAAGAGAGAAAGAGAGCCAATAATAATTAAAGTCAGAGAAATTTGTAAGTTAGTGTTCTACATATAATTATGAAAGTTATCCATCCATTTTTTTTGGGTGAAGTATTCTTGTAATTAATACTACCATTTTAACAAAAGTTTTGGATTAAGTACTAGTCTCACTATTTTTACCCATTTTAGGATTTCTACGTTATAATAAATTATTTTGATAAAATTACGCGTAAATTAATGTAATTTATAAATATTTTTCAGTAATACTTTCATCTTTTAACTTCTTAAAAATAAAATAAAAAATATAGCCCTTATTTTAATAAAACAACCGCCATATACTACAGTACTACTTTGCACCATACTACTATAAGTCTATAACCCATTCAAGATTAATTAAACTTATCATCCCCGCAACGCCATTCTACAATCATCGGCGTAAATCTTGCTCGCTCTTCAATGTATTATTCTTTCACATGCCAGTACGAAGCCACTATGTTGCCGCCTAAGCTTTTTATGGGTATCAAATCGAGCATGACAAATAGGTTGTAAAAGGAGGGCACGTTCGTCTATTAAATATGTCTTCTTCCATTGTATTTTTGATAACCTTCCTTTGATTTTCTCTTGAAATTTTCCAATTTTGATTTCAATTCATTATATTCTTCGACATTATTATTCAACGTACCTTTTGAGATTTTTTGGCGGAGTCATTGCAAGAAGATACAGTGAAGATTTATTTGAAGATGAGAGGAGTTGTATATGAAGAACCTTCACCTCATTCCCTTTTATGTGACGACGAGGATGCAAAACCAAAACCTTTTTCTTGAAAATTAAACAAGAAAACAAAGAAATTACAAAGATTGGTCCGTTCAAAGACTTTTATTAATCATATGCATATCTTTCTCCATTTTCAATCCTCTTAAACAAGAAGTTAAAGAAATAAAATTAAATATTGTAATCTAATCAAGAGTAATAATGCGGAGAGCCGGAGAGTAATAATAATACCTACGTACTATTCAATCTTGCACAATAAAAACTTTGAAAATCAAAGAGCTTAAGAAAACAAAGAGATGAGATTAAGAAAAGTCACAAATCACTCGCACGTATCTTAAAGTTATAAAACTCACCATTTGTTTTCGAAATGCTACGAATAATTTCGCTAACCTATGACTAGTTGTTTATATATGAGATAAAGTTAATTTTAAATGGCAACTTCAATCGGTCAATTTTGTAATACAAGTAGATTTTTCTTTAAAGAAGATCTTTATTGTTTTTGGTCAGCATATTTTCATTGAGTTGGGTTGCATTTTCCCATGATTAGTCACTTAATCCATTGTTAGGGTTTATTTTTAATCCTTAATTAGGATTACTTTTATTATTATCTACTATCACTTTAATTACTCCCTCCGTCCTATAATTTTGTGCCCGTATTCCCTTTTAGGTGTCCCAATATGTTGTGCTTCCATACCTTTTAAGGGGGTGTTTGGTTCATCAAGTTGGAATGGATTGGTATGGAATCTCATACTAGAGAGGTATGGACTCTAAAACTCATGCTAAACCAAAGTTGTTTGGTTTTATTGTTGGAATGAATTCTATCCTTCATTAATAGTATGGATTGTGAATCTTAGGGGGAGAGGTGGGTATGAGATTCATGGGTATGAGGGGGAGTTAGAACCCCTTGGGTATTACTAAAAACCTCAACCAAACAAAAAACTAGATGAAATGGATTCTAACTCCATTTCGACTCATTCCAAATGATCAAACCAAACGACCCCTAAAAAGTATGAGAGAGCTCTTATGAATGGTGTAAGGACATTTATGCCCCTTAAAATGTTTGTTTACATACATAACCCTGTTTATAGTTTAAGAAGCTCTTTTTTCTTACATAAAAATGTTTGTTTACACATTTGCCCCCATTTATAAGTTTAAGAAGCTTTTTTTTTCCTTCTTAGTACATTTTCCTAATAAGTACTCCTACATAGTAGTATATCAGCCTTCAAAAAAAAAAAAAAAAAAAAAAAAAGAGTATATCAAACATTTACATTTACCATCTAGAACTTGATAATTTTTGTCACTTTCTCACTAAATCTAAATAAACTCTACTAAAGGTTCGAAGAATATTGTACGGTTACAACATCTAGCACATTTATCGTCAATATGCAAACAATCATAGTATACCATGCAAATTCACTAGGGACAATTGTAAAAACTCTTTTCAAAGACTAGGTTGCACGCGCTAGAATCCCTAGTAATTCTAAAAATAGCACATCTTTACTTACTTTTTATTTTTTCCATACAAAGTACACATATACCAAAAAAATCGATAATTACTTACTTTTTTTTTCATACAATATTATCTACTTTTTTTAATTTTTTTTTAATTTTTTTATTCTCATATAATATTTTCTACTTCTTATTTTACCAATAGAATATTCTCCTACTTCCACCAATCTCCTTAATTACCGTGTTTTTTGAGTAATAGACATGAAATTATGGGACGAAGGGAGTATTTATTAGAGTCACTTTTGCAGTTAAAATTTACCTGAAAGACATCTATATTTTTGAAGGTATTCTGTACAAAGAAATTACAAAGATTGGCCTCATTCTCTACCCCTTAAAATAATACTTCCTTTGTTTTTATTAATTTGCAACACACTATTTTAGCGCGCAATTTAAGAGAAATATTAGGATAGGTAAACGGACAAATTAATTGGTATAATTTTACTACTAATAAGAAGAAAGTGTGATTGTTACATTTTAAATTTTATAGCTTAAGTTGTCCATTTACCTAGTCTAATCACTTCTAGTGTGCCAAAAAGGCATGTCGCAAGTACTAGCTTCGTTTTTTTTAACTTCTTACTTTCTCTTTTAATATTATTTTTTTATTTTTTAATCTTTCTACTTTTACCTTATATTCTTTTTAGAAAGAAAGATTCCACTTTTATCATTTTTAAACCCACCACATGGTCCACATAAAACTATATATAATATACTCCTATAAATGTTACTAAACAAATTTATCTCCCCTACCTAAAAAGTGAAAAAAAAAACTCATTTTTCAATTACTACTTCTTTTAATGATCATTTTATATGAACAGTGGATGTGAAGATAATTAAAAAAAGAAGGGCCTATAAAAAACAAAGGAAGTATTTTAGTATAAATAATAATATAAGTGCAGTAAAAACAATTCTAGTTCAGCAAAAATAATTATAGTTCATTAAAAATCAATAAATTTTAAGAACAAATAGAATATCAATAATAATAAGTTATAATTAGTAAAATAATTTTAGTTCAGCAAAAATTAGGTGAAGATAAAATAGGGCATTTTCTTAAGAAGAAAACATGACATTTAATTTTATTGAAATGTAATTCTTTTTACTAAATAAAATTTATTTTACTCTTTCTTTAATTAAACTTGTTCATTATACCATTTACTAATTTTTTAATAAATTAAAGTAATTTTTAGTGAATATTATTAATTTAAGATGAAGAGGATATGACCTAAAAGATACCACTTTGTAAAAGGAAAAGTTCATGTATGACTAGCTAGGATCACAATGTGTACCATTAACAACTTGTCACATTTTCTTGATTAAGTGAATTTGATGGTACATTTCTCTATCTTTGTGTAGAAAATTCTAGGTGCCCCTTCGACATCTATAAATAGGAGAAGGTGTTTGACATTTTAATCC